GGGTCGGGCCGCGAGGAGTGGGGGAGTGCGGGGAAGGTCCCTCCGAACCCCCGGCAGAGCCGTCACGTCCGGGCCGGGGAGTTGGGGTCTCAACCCTCTCCCACCCGCCAGTGGTGCCCAAGGGGAAGCTGATGGGCGGCGGCGCGTGCAGGTCCAGCCGGGGGCGAGCCCAGGCCTGATCCGGACTCCCAGACCAGGGCTTGTTCTGCGGTCCGTGCTGGGGGCGGGGCTTGCGGCTTTCCTGGGCACGGACTGGGCCATCCGAGGGGACTGGCCCCTGCCGACTTGGCCTTGGTGGCACGGTCTGTTCGGTACTGTATTTGGGGGGGAGCGGGGTGGAGGTGAGGGCAAGAGAGAGACTGAATTTGTGTGTGCCGTGCGCCGCTAGCATCTCTGGGTACTGTCTCCCTGAGACCAAGCCCTGTGCTCACCTCGATGCTGTCTCCGGCTTCAGAACCCGCCCTGCCGGCATTGGAGGCCTGTGCCTTGCAAAGGAGACATGATGGCTTGGGACGTCGCTCCTCCAGACTGACCTTCCCCCTAGGCGGGGGGCGGGGAGATCTCAGCGTCGTTTACTAGCTTGTGCTCCCAGGAACTGCTAGACCTGGGAAGATTTACTAAGCAAACCACGCCTGGCCCCAGCCTATTAGGACAGGTGTTTTGAGGGCTGTGGCTTCGAGGAGGGAGTGGGGCTCACTGCTAGCGGCCCAGGGCCTGAAGATGTAGGCATGGGTAATCAGTAACCCCTAGCACACTTCCCCTGCTGCTGGAGGCCATCTAGGCCAGACCCGTGATTGACTAAGCAAACAAGGCCCTCACCCTGACTCCTGGGCTCAGAGGGTTTTTCAGTTCAGTCCCAGGCCAGAAGACTGGCAGAAAACTGGGGGCTTGGAAGGATCCAGAAGACTCTAAAGATAAGGGGGAGCGTTCCAGGAGCTCACCTGTGCCCACTCACCCCTTTCAGAGCCATATTAGTAAACAGTGGGTTTTGATGCCTTAGCTGAGGTCTGGTTGCCTGGATACATGGACCAGGCTGAGGCCCTGCAGAAAGGCCAGGTCTGCAATAGACCTCTCTTGGGCCTGCGTGTAGACTTGTGCTGCCATCCCCACAGCCCTCCGGAGCAGGGAGAGGGCACCAGCCCTACCAGTCCAGACAGCATGCTGTTTTCAGGAGGGAGAAAGGAGGTTGCTTCACCTACCCCAAATGCTACCCCAAATGCTGTAAGGCCCGTCACGAAGCCTATGTGCCCCAGTAGTTCTTAAAAAGCAGATACTTGCTTACTAACAATGCCATTTTCTCAAGTGTCCCATTGGCCTCTGCAGTAGAGGTTCTTGTCCCTTTTACCCCACAAAGCCAGAGAAGTGAGTGCTTCATGGCCACTTGGCTGGTAAATGGTCAAAGTGCCAATCCAATCCAGGGTGTCCAGTCTGCGGGCTGCCACATTAAAGCCAAGTGAACCTCCCTCACTTCCTCCCTCCAGACCTAAATGATTTGCTTGGTTTCCCTGTGGGTTCCTGCTCTTGGGGCTCTATGTGGTAGCTTCAGTTGGGGACCCCTTAGGCTCCTGACCTAGATCCTCAAGGACAGGACCACCTTGCTTCTTGCCTGTGTTTTCTGAGGTTCTGTTCATGGCCTGACTCGTGCCAGCCTGGGATGCCTTGAGGGCACTTGCACAATCGGTAAACAGGAGAGGATACTGGGTTTGCCAACTGCCCTTGGCCACTACTACTGCTTTTTGGGAAGCCCAGGCTTCCCAAGCCACTCGGAGAGCAAAGGCAGAAAGAGGCTGCACTGGAGGGTGCTCAAGTCCCTACTGATGCCCATGGCCACGGCTGTCAACTGTGGCGTTGCTACAAATTGCCTGGAAATGTGTTTTAAATGTTGCCTCCCTTAGTGGCCCCCAGGGATGCTGGTGCAGACCCCACTCTGCTGCCACTGAGTAGAGGTAGGACTCAGAGGACAAATCATTTCCCCTCTCTAGGCCTTAGTGTCCTCTTCAGTACTCCTGAAAGTAATGGTAGGGGCCTGGGGGCACAGGATGAAGCAGACAGGAGGAAATGCAAGGTTGGACGTCAGGGCTCCTCCTCTCCTGAAAGGCTGTGCCGTAATGCATTTGCTCTGAGCTTGGTTCTACCTGTATTCCTCATTAACATCAGAGATCCTAGCTGGGGAGAAGCTCTGGACCATGGGGGGCAGGAGTGGAAGGAATGCTTCTCAGTCTCAGTGAAGTGCATTAAACTTCCTTTGGGATTTTCTTTCTCTGAGTGAAGCATAAAACTCATGACCTGAGAACCCATCAGTGAGCAAATCCAGACACCGTTTCTCAGGGTGCTACCGTCGAGACCTCCCAGTTCATTGCTTAAAGACCCACTGCCCTTCGCTCGCCTGCATCCAGGGCGGCTAGCAGAGGTGGCTACGTGGCCCAAAGGTCTATGGCCCCTTTTTGACCTGTAGAAAGAAACGCCCTCGGAGCTCATTTTTTTTTCCCCTTCCAGGCTGGCAAAGCACACAGGCTAAGTGCTGAGGAGAGGGACCAGCTGCTGCCAAACCTGAGGGCTGTGGGGTGGAATGAAGTGGAAGGCCGTGATGCCATCTTCAAGCAGTTTCATTTCAAAGACTTCAACAGGGTATGGCTCCGGGGTGGGACAGTTTCTCGAGACTGGGGTGGATGAGGTCACACAGAGAACTTGTCCTGTCAGCAGAGAACCTGACAAGACACTAACCTAGAGTATTTAAGCACCATGCCAGTGGGGAAATTCATGTCCCTGAGTAACCTGGAGAGTTGTCATGCTTGGGGGCTGGAGAGTAGCATAGGTCTTAGGCTCTCTCCCCCTAAACCTTTGAGAAATAATCCCCAGAGAAGATAGTTCAGGAAGGAAATGGGTGTACATCTGAAGACATTTTTTTTTTTTTGAGAGATTTTCACTGTAGGGCGTGTGCGCTCGCCAGACAGACAGAGAGAGACATAGAGACAGAAAGCGAGAAATCACCCCCCAGAGGGGATGGTCACACCGCAATCCCTTCTCCTCCATTCTCCTCTCGGGATCTTGGGCACGCACGCACACGCGCCCGGCGTGAGTTTTAAGCCACCGGGTCCAGGACACGAACCGCGGTTGACTACGTGGGAGTCCAGCGACATAGCCATTACGCTAACTGCTGGTTCCCATACATCTGAAGACATTTTATAGATAGCCGAGAATGGCCAAGACCAAAGTGCTCTCATGGTGCCCATGAGACTTAACAAGACTTTCTTCCTGCCACAGACAACCTCTAACTCGTGCTCAGAACCAGCAGCAGGATGTCAGAGGACACATGGTTAAAGCCAGAGGGCCCCCCTACAGAAAACTAGTGTGACCTCCTGCACCTAGGTCCTAAATTGGCCACAAAGACACTTAGGAGTCCCTTCTCTCAGAACATGAAGCTGGGTCTCACTTCGCTTCAACAGGCTTTCGGGTTCATGACAAGAGTGGCCCTGCAGGCTGAGAAGCTGGACCACCACCCTGAATGGTTTAACGTGTACAACAAGGTGGGTGATGGCATGTGTCTCTACCGTGTTCTGCTCGTGTCCGAATTCCGAGAACTTCAACTCATTCTGAAGGCCTCTCTGTTGGACGTGGGCCCTCCTCACCCACAGGCTGACTGTCCACTCATTCTGTTCCATTCATCTTGTTCCTAGAATCAAATAAATAGCCCTGGAAAACAGTCAAATTAAAGAAATTCCAACTTAAACATTCATAACATACTTATGGCTAAAGAAGACATTAAGGCGGCAAACCCCAAGAAAGGCAAGGTTATGAGAATCAGGCACACTTAATCACTGTTAATAGCTTTAATGGCGCTCATCTCCCAGGAGATCCAGAACATTTGAACTAAGACTATCCACGCTGCAAATAGATCAGACTGGTGATGAATCAAAGCATTCACTAAATGCCCGCCATGCACCAAGAACTCTGCTGGACTATTTATAAAAATGAGGAGGGCGGAAGAGGTTACCTATACATGGATAGAGCTTAGGAGCTAACATCAGTTTCGATTTTGTCTTTAGCTTTTAGGTTAAGTTGACATCTGGATGTTAAATTTTTATCCCATAGCTAAAATCACCATCATCTTAGAAAAACATCAGCGGGGAAATACAGTAGAAGACATGTGGAGGAAGGCAGGCTGGGAGGGGCTGTAGTGAGGGGCTGCTGTTCTGGAGCGGGGAAGACAGAGCCCAACAGTGAGGGACTCTCCAGTTCGTAAATGAAGTCAGTGGAGTGAGCTGGCCCTGAATTTCTGGTTGTGTTTCAGGTCCACATCACCCTGAGCACCCACGAGTGTGCAGGCCTTTCAGAACGGGACATAAACCTGGCCAGCTTCATTGAACAAGTATCAGTGTCCATGGCGTAGGTGCATCCTCCCTCTTTGAACTCCTCGGGGAAGATGGGACGGAACTGCGAATCCAGAGAGGATCCCAAGACCCTGCTGCCTTCATTTAGGAGTCCGTCCTGGCTTGAGAGGATGTCAGTCATGGCCAGCACCCCGAATCTGGATGTTTTCCCCTGCCACTCATCCTTGGGGCTCTGTTACACTAAATTGAGTAAGCTCTCCGTCTTTGCAACATCCCAGGAATTTCCTTTCCAGGCTGTTCCTTACCACCCTAATTCATTTCCCCTAGAAGTTGTAATAGAGGGTGAAATTGTTTCCTCGCAGAAATCAGGACCCTAAAGGGAATCCCATGCTGTGACAGAATCATAAATGCTCTCATGTCTCATGTAAAACTATTCTAACATTTGGTCTTAGGCTCTGAGTCTTCTTTTCCACTGGATAATCCAAATTGGTATCACTGGACATTTAATTAAGGCACTTAGCACCCTTCAGGGTACTGAGGCAGTGGGAAGGGGACCAGACCACCTTGCCCTCAGATTCGTTATCATTTCTGGGAATCAAACAAGAACACAACTATTATTAGACAGGATGAATTAAGTTAATGCTAGAAGGCAGGACAAGAAATAAGCTAAGGGGAACACATAAAAATGATGGATGGTGACAAGGGTCAATCTAGGGCTTTGCGTTATGCCTCGAAGACCAGAGTAGGATTTCTGAGCAGCAGATACGGCTGAGGGAGCATCATAAACAGAGGTCTGTGAGGCACAGGTATTTGATGTGTGGTGGGACCTACATCGAGAGAGGATGTCTGGAGCAGTACTGTCTCCCTAGCTGTGATGGTTAATTTTATGTCTACTGATGGCCATACCACATCCATATGCTTGGTCAAATTTATTATTCTGGGTGTGTCTGTGAAGGTGTTTCTGGATGAGACTGACATCTCAATCAGCAGACTGGGGAGACTGTCCTCAACACGGGGAGCCTCAACTAATCAGTTGAAGGCCTGTATAGAATAAAAGGGCTGATTATTTCTTAAATAAGAGGAAACTCCTCCTACCTAACTGCCTTGAGCTGGGATGCATTTTTTTTTTCTTCTTCAGTTTTGCAATAGGGTACATGCACTTGCCAGAGAGAAAGAGGGAAAGTGAGAGAGCCTCCCAGCTAGGAAGGGGATAGCCATACCAAAATCCCTTCTCCTTCCTTCTCTTGGGCTTTTGAGTGTGCAGGCATGTACCTAGCATGTTTTTCAAATTCAGGGACCAAACCATGCAGTCGGCCGTGTGGGATCCAGCTGCCGTAACACCATGCCACTGGTTGACCCAAAATGTCAATCTTTCTGCTTTCAAACTTAGCTGTCAACACGTGCTCTCAGGGCCTCTGGACTAGAACACATCAGCTCTCCTGGGAGAGTTTACTAAATGCAGATCCTGGGATCTGTCAGCTCTAGGATCACATGATCCAGTTCCTTATCATCTTTTTTCTCTGTGTATATAGTGGTTCTGTTTCTCTATCAGGGAGGACCCTAATATGCTGGCCTGTAACATCAGATGGGAAGGTTTTTAATCTGATGGTTTCTGGAGTTTCCCAGAATCTCAGCAAAGGTCTCAAAGATTGCCCGATTTTACTCTAAAGATAGAAGGTGCAGCTTAGGAGCTGACAGCTACCTACTATCCAAGTGTTTAAAGAGCTGGTGTGCAAAGGTCAGTTCCCCAGCCAGGAACGCTAAGAATAGTCCCACTACTGTGCTGGGACTGGAAGGGGCCACTGAGCGCAGTCTCATCTCTACCCTAGGTACATGCAGCACAAGTTTTCTTTTCCGCACACCTGATACAGAGATGGGGAAGTTGTTCTCCCTTCAGTTCTCACCTGTGACTCCTAACCTGAAGCACTGCCTGGCTTGTGAATGTCCATCACTCAGAGCAGGTCTCCGGCCATGTTGCAACTGAGCCAGCCTGGATGAGGTGGTCCCCCAGCAAGCGCCAGAGAAGAGGCCAGTGAAGCGTCAATGCAGATAAGCAGTATGTGTTCTCTGCAGTGCTTAACATCAATACCAGTGAGATCTGGACAGTGGTGTCCTTTTGCCCCACTTCCACTTGACTTACATTTCTCTAAGTGTGCTTTGATCTGATGACTGAGGACTGGGAGGCCCCCACAAGGAGGTTTGGATTACACCTTCCTGGGTCACCTTCCAGCCTCTGCTTACCATCATGATTAGGGTTGAAAAGTGCCAACCTAGGCCACACTACAGTTGGATGAAGCACCTTTATGTCGGACAAAGACACAGACAACACTTTTTAGAAATAAATAGGTTTATTCTGAAATTAATCCAAACAATAGGAATCACAGGGGAGGATATTAAGGAGAAATTATGACAAAGAGGAAAGTACGAGAGAAAGGTAGGCAATGAAGACTCCAAATCAAGCAAAGGCTTTCCAAACCCTGACTTCTGCCTACCCCAGCTATGGTTAGTGGCTATCAAATTAGCCTCAGGAACTGTTCTGTTACAGTTTGGTCTAGGCAAAAGCTGTTCACAGCTACCAGAACCCACAGAGAAGGCAAAGAGGCCTACAGCTGTACACAGCAGCTTAAGCCTCCCCAGACACTACTGCTTTGTGGGCCAGGCCTCCTGACCCGAAAAGATTCTGTCTGGTCTTCCTGTGGGGGCAAGGCACCAAGCCATTTGGTAGAAACATGCAAAGCCAGCACTCCTGTGGCTGGATTCTGGCCAAGTCTGAAATGAAAGCCAGAATGAAACACTGGGTTCCTCAATGACAGCTTTCAGATCCCGATCAACCATTTGGAAAGACTTCTCATTTTTTATTCAAAATGAAACAGGACGCTCAGTCGTTACATGTGTGAAGATCACCTGAAGAGCTCTATTAGCCCCCAACCCAAACGCAGGGCCTACAGTCAGCATCCCATGGTAAGAGTCACACTACCCAGCTGGCTAGAGGCCTCCCAGATGGCTTAGTCCATCATTAAATTGTACACAAAGTGGAAGATGAAGATGATAAAACACACAAGACAGGGCCCAGGCCTGGGGAGCTAAGGACCTGAATTTCTGGCCTCTCTAAACAGGTATGACCACCACTCCTGGTATGCAGACTAGTCGGTGGCTACTAAAGTGCTTGGAAATACACCGACTGCCGCTCAGCTGTGTCTAACGGCCCCATCTCAGGGGTCATACCCCCTACACCACAAGGGGGCTGTCTCTCCACAGCCCATCCAAGTGCTGCCACCCACCCATGTGTGATCTTGTGTGCATGCCCGAGTAGATGAATGAATGCAACCATCCACAGTGATTACGATTTGGGACATTTAATTATTTCATCACTTTTTGAGAGATTATTGCTGCAATTAGAAAGGGAGCATTGAGATGAGAAGGGGGAGGTTAAAGAAGGCAAAGAAGATTTAAAGAGGCAAGTACCACTTTTCCAAGTATAAAAACTGGTATTAAAAGTGACATGGCAGTATATTCACATGACTAATTACTCGTAATGCGGAAACAAGACAGCACAGTTTTTGCAAAGGCCTATGTGACATCTACTAGCAACATGATACTAAGACGCTACCCACCTCTGCCACAGATTAGGTATTACTAAATGTGCACACAGCACACATACACAACAAAAAGCCTACAGAAGTGTTAAGTCAAACACAGCTCTCAAACATAAAGTGTCTACACTGGGTCCCTTTGAAAACCACCACCACCACTCCCGACCCCAATTTTGTCACAGCACAGAGGATATGAGTGGCTCTGGGGTCTGGTCCTGGGGACACTGGCAACACCAGCCCAGTTCTAGGGCATGTGCTGGTCTATTTCAGTAGTTACCAAGCCACAGCGGTGCCTACTGGGTAGGTCCCTGGGTCCCTGGACCTCCTCTAACATTGTGCACTGAACACCAGAGACAATGCACATGTGGCTCTGAACACAGCTGCTCTCAAGGAGCCACGAGTTCAGCAACTTGGAGGACACATGCCGCTCCCACGTCCTAAGCATCTCAGACTCTGGCACATACACAAAGACACCAACCACTCTTGGAACCCACATCGCACAGCAGAGCAAACAGGAGAGAAACACACACATATAACCCCCACGCCAGCCTTATGACAACACAGCCAGCTAGTCACAGTTACCCAGTAAGAAGTATGGTGCTAAAGAATACTACAGACAGACATGCTAAGGAGCTTGGGGGAAACTGGCAGTCATGGCTCTCCTGGCTAGCATTCCCAGTGAGGGAGCTAGAGGATAGTTACCAGCCAGAGAAACTGCATAATCAGGAGTCCCTGAGAAGGGAAATGGAACAGAGGAAAATTTCTCCTGGCTTGTCCTAAGTACCCCACCCCAAGCAGAGACCCCAAAGGCTGCTCCATTCCCCCAGGCCTGGGCCAGAAAGCGCTCACTATGCACCGCAGAGAAAGGCACGTGACACAATGTCATTAGGTAAGGACAGTGGCTCAACCTAGAGTGCCCCATACAGGGGAGAGGAGGGTAGGAAGTGGGTGCAGGGTATGGTCCTGGCCCTGCACCACCCTGAGCAACTAGTCTTCAGACAGAAGAAAGTCCCAGCCCTGGACCACAGAGGCTGCTTGCCACCCTGCTTTCCACTCCCGAATGCTTATCACATCCTTCGCTGCTCCTCCAGCCAGGGCTGAGATGCGACCAGTACCTGCGGCTAACCTGCCAAAGTACCTCTGGAAGCTGAATGGAGGGAGGGAGGTGGAAAAACACACTCATGGAAAGAAATGTCCTTGCTATGGGGCTCTCTCACTCCTCTCCTCACACCCATGAAAGGTAAGTCAAGGCAACTTGTGAAGGTGCTTTGAGCTGTTCCTTCAAATAAGCATATTCTGATTACACGATGGCTTAAAGCATGGAGGGGAGGGCCACCACCAACCTTGGTGATACCTGTCTGAAGCTTGGTGCTCACCCTGTGACATTCAGGAAAGTATAAAAGGGTCTGGTTTCTGTGTGCTGCCAGCCTAGGAGAGGGCCCGGCTCAGGTGTGCTCTGATCACTGCTGACTCAGGGAGGCAGTACCATGGCCACACAGGCCTAGATTCTCTGGACCCATTCTTTCCCTTGTCCAAGGAAACAAGAACAACCAAACAAGACCCTCCAAAGATGGGGCAGCCAAGGGTCAGCTGGGGACTGCAAGCGCAGAAGAGGCCCGAGGACCACTGCAAACCAAACTCGGCTCACTGAGCACATGTGCTCTCTGCCCCGTCCTGCGGTGTCCTAAAGAAATCAAACAAGCTACAATGGAAGTGGTTGTACGAAAAACAACTACCCTACTCTCTAGAGGAGGACTGAAAAACGCTTCTGCTCCGAGAACTCCTAACACTTGCCTAGTAGTTACATACTTGCTATCTGACGAGCCAGAAAATCTGCCTGAGGTAATAAGGAAACTCTCACCATCTCACCAACTGTACCCCAGCTTCCCAATGGAATCAGGACAGTCACAGGCGCCAAATAATGATTAAGTGAAGTTGAAAGCTCAAGAAGTTAGAGAAGAAAATGGTTAAAATAATTCCTAGGGTAACATTTATCATAAGGACAAATTCGTTATGTAATGGAATCCTTCAGGGTCTTGAAATTAAAAACCACAAAAGGAAGAACAAGAATTCCAAGGACCAAGCTGTCTCACAGTCTACCTAGGTGTGCTCTGTGGAGCAAGTCCAGATGTCAAAACTGCGTGTGGTCTCTTCCATACCCCAAGAACCTTCTGGAGGCCAGAAGCCTCTGGGACGAGAAAGGGTCCAAGTTCAGCGGGGCTTTGAAGAACCATTCATCTGGCCACCCTGGGTGACGTTGTCTGTGCTGTACAGGCAGTCCAAGAAGGTGGAGGACAATTCTGCAACCAGATTCCGGTCAATGGTTGCCTGGGCCATGCCGTAGATGGCACCCTACAAATCCAATTAGGGAGACATTATTAGTGAGGATGGGAGAGGAACCAGGAGAGAGCTGTGGTACACAGTCCCCGCCACCCCCGACTCCCAGATTTCCAGGTACACTCTCTCTTGCATTCCCACCTAGGTATCATTCTATCAGAAAACCAGCTAATGTAGTCAACTTCTCATAGGTGTTTCCCGGTCTTCCTTGCTGCCTAAAGGAACTAGTCTATGAAATTTGCTGCACAAAATTCCTAAGACAAGTTTATTGCCTTTCCCATGTCAACATCTTCTTTTCAGAGGCACACTGGCACCACCTGCTTGGATGAAGCAGTTTCTAACTGACAAGGCACCTTATATATAGTGCATCTCATTTGAGACTCCCAACAACCCTGGGGATAGGTGAGGTAGATCACCAGTTCTAATAAACTAAGAGAGGTTTGTGGGTAAGGGGCCGAGGCAAGAACAGACTCCAGGTCACCTGATTCTTTCAACCCCCTCGTTAACATTTAAATTTCCAAGGGAAGAAAAAACCCCAACCCAGCATGCCTACCATTCCTGTGGTCTTTGCTTTTGGATTCTTCATAATCTGTGTCACAGACTCCCTGATATCCTTTAGGAACTGTATGGCTACTCGCTTCCGCGTATGTACTAAAGTGATGCAGAAATGAATACTATGGGAAAAGAAAGAGAGAAAGATAAACCTTGAAAAAAGAAAGAAATACTCTACAATCAAGTAACCCAAGTAGAGGGACTTACTGGTTGCCTCTTCATGGTATTTCTGACAAGTGCAAGTCATCAAGGTGTTCCCAGTCCTGGGAATTAGGCCTCTCAAGTTCTTGGGCTGTCAAGCATGTGCTGATGGCAGGGCTCCTCAGCAGGATCAAGACCCCACCGCAAGGAAACAGACACAGCCGGCTGTTCTGTCCCACCCCTCCCCTCACAAACTGTCAATCACAATTCTTTCAACCATGTGACCTCCAACAGGAGGCTTCTGTCTTAGATGATAATCTTTCATGGAGGTACGGGCACAGATCTGAGGTCTTGAAGGACTTCAGGATAAAGGAGAAACTACTTTTCCTGAAAGGAGGGCGGCATATAGAGGAATTGTGAAGAAGAAAAGGGACAGTCTAGAGGAGACTGGCAATGGACCAACATGGAAGGGGGAGCCGAACACAGGGGACAGTGAACAGTCCTGACAGTCAGAGTATTCGTCTTAAAGCATCATAGCACATCGGCTTATGAAAACATATTAAAGAGACAAGCAGGCCTGAATGATTACAGACCCTCTGGAGGGTTCTGAGCTAAGACTACCCAGGTAACAAGGACTTCATTAGAGTAATCTGATGGCTGTGTTAAAGACGAACCAGGGAGGAGAGAAGAAAAAGAGAATGGGAGAAAAACCTCATGACCAAACACTGCTCTCAGGAGGCTGTCACCTAATTCCACCAGTTTAAAGCTAATGGTCGTGGGGCCAGCAGGTGGTGTGGTAGCTGAGGGGCCAGATTCCCACATGGCCAACCAGACCAGTTTGAGTCCCAGACTTGGTGGCTTTCTCTCGCTCTGGTGAGTGCCTGTGCCCTATAGCAAATTTTTAAAATAATAAAATAGTAAGTAGGGGCCAGCAGGTAGCATGGTGATTGGGGCACTGGACTCCCACATGACCAACTGCAGTTCAAGTTCTGGACCTGACGACTTGCTTTCTCTCTCTCACTCTTTCTCTCAATCTCTCTCTCTCTGTTTAAATTGAATAATAATAATAACAACAATAATAATAAATAAATTTTTGCTTTAGAAAAGCTTTTCAAAATGTAATAAATAGGGAACCAGCAGTTAGTGTAATGGCTATGTCATTGGACTCCCATGTAGTCGACCGCAGTTCGCGTCCCGGACCCGGTGGCTTAAAACTCACGCCGGGCACATGTGCATGCGTGCCCATCCCCCCTGGGGGGTGATTTCTTGCTTTCTGTCTCTAATGTTTCTCTCTGTCTGTCTGGCGAGTGCACACGCCCTATAGCGAAAATCTCTCCAAAAAAAAAAAAAGTAATAAATAATTATTTAAAAAATGTAAAAAGCTAATGGTATTATTCTTTATATCTAATAACTCCACAACCCCAAGTGGCAAGACAGAACGCCCATAGATGCTGCAGTTCCTATAAAGTGCTGGGCTCCAGCAGTCTAACTCTGTGTCGGGTTATTTTGCTACTTGAATTCTTTAAAAGCCATGGAGCAAAGGCAGGGCAAGAAGTCTATGCAAGCTTACCTGGGTGGGAACTGTAGGTGGTTCAGGTTCCAGCCCTTAGCATGCATCAGGTTAAAGAGCCGGGAGATGTCAAAGTCATGGGAGCCGAGAGCAATGACTGACAACTGAGGATTTCCAAAAACAAAGATGCCTTTGATATTTTCCAGTCTTAAACAAAAACAAACAAAAAAGAAATTCAGCCATATGCATTCCTCTGGTCATATCTTGAGTCATCCAAAGTCTCCCTTTTAACACACTCTAACCTTGGGGGCCTTTAGTCTTTTCATCTTCTACCTAACAGAAGGCTAGAACGGGCTCAGTGGTTCTGACAAAGAGCGAATCGCAGGTGGAACAGTACACACATTCCAAGAGGCCCAGGGAAAGTGGTGCAGGAGGTCTGCAAGGCTGGAGGTCACACGGAAGATCGGTTTTGGATCCTGAGCTGACCTGTCCACTCCAGGCACATGAGCACAGACCCATGATTCTGACTGGCTGGGAAAGGCTATGAGGAAGGATCTCAGTGTGAGACCCTGTTGAGGGTGCTTGTGTTTTTCGTTCATGAAATTTAAACTTAATATATAACCAATGGCCCAAACCCCATCTAGAGCTAATGAGTCTGAATTACTGGTTTCTAACCTGAGTACCCAAGTTCCAGTTTTTACATCTCAGATACTCTTACGATATACCCATTAGAGTATCTGAGGGGTAAAAACTGTTACTACTGGTAAGGGCCAGTCCCATAGCCTAGTGGTTAAGGGAGCTGGATCCTACTTAGCTGAACAAGATGGAGACATGGAAGAAAAGAGACTGTGGTGTAAACACATCCCATGGGGGGTGGGGAGGGTCTCCACCTCCCTGTCTCTCTATGGCACAAATCCTTTAGCAAATATTAAAAAAAAAAAAAGGAAAAATAATCCCTCCATCTCTTTGGTCGCTAAAAATCATACTCTCTAAAAGCAAAAAATGGTACCGCAGTTCTCAAAAGATGGCCCTATCGGAACCACATGAGGACCATTTTCCTCATGAGACATGCAGCTTTCCTTCCTCCTCGAGATCCTGAAAAGGCCTCCCCAGTCCCAGTGACACTGACAGACAGGCAGGTAACACAGTGACAGACATGGAAGACAGAGCAGGCAGTCACTTCCTGCCCTAGCTGAACCACAGACTGTGTTACTCTCCCGCCCCCTTTCTTCTGCTCTATCTCCAACTCATTTTCTTTCTTTCCTTTCTCAGGTTTTTTGCCACAGGGCTCATGCACTTGCCAGAGAGACAGAGAGAGGGGAAGTGAGAAATCACCCCTCGGGGGATGGCCATGCTGCAATTCCTTCTCCTCCAGTTTCCTCTTGGGATTTTGCACACAAACATGCATGCCATGCTTGCGCCTGGTGTGATTTCCAAGCTAATGGGTCCGGGACTCAAACCAAGGTCAGCTATGTGGGAATCTGGTGCCTTAACCACCACACCACCTGCTGGCCCACAACTCATTTCTTATTCCAGTGAATCTGTAAATGTGACTCCTGGATCAGGCACATCAGTATCTCCTGGGAACTAGAAACGAAAATCCTCAGACTCCAACCCAGATATACTGAATCAGGAATTCTAGGAGTGGAACCCAACAATTGGTGTTTTAACTATCCCTGTAGGTAATCAGATGCTTGCCCAAGTCTGTAAACCACCTTACCCTAACATTACTCTGTACATTATCATCTGTTAAGAGCTGCCGATTGCCAAGACGAGAGGACCTAAAAATGAAGCCTCTGCCTCTGAAAGTCAGAGAAGGGAAAGGGAGTGTGTCCTTCCAAGCCAGCACCACACTCCTAAGAAATTGTCCTAAACCCTTGGTCTCTCAAGAGTTGGCAAGTGGGTTACAGCTATGGGTATTTGACCAGGCAGATGCAGAACAGAAAAAGCAAGAGACAAGGCACAGCCCCCGTCTCCCACACATACTCTGATTTGAGGAAGCGAGTAGTTTTGATGATCTGTTTGGTGGCTTCAACATAGCCGTTCTCACCGAAGTACATCAAGGAGGCCCAACAGGCTGCACTAATGCCACCAGGCCGAGAGCCTGCAATGCATGGGGAAGCATAGATGCCACCCTGCCAATCTGTAGCGATGAAGAACTGGTAGTTCCTGTACTTCTTGTCACTGTATAACACCACTGAAGAGCCTTTGGGGGCGTAGCCATACTGAGGGAAAGAAGTAGACAGGTGAGAGTATAGCTCTGTCCCAGACCTTGTCCCAGAACTGTCATCAGGCAAAGTAATTCTTCCTTGTCAGTTTCTCTGTACTGTTTCCCACTTACCGTCAGGATTCATACTCAGAACTTAAAGGGTAGAAAGCACTTAAGGGATAAATTTTAAGTCCCCTATGGTAGGGATGAAGAATCTGAGGCCTAAGGAAGTGTTTGTCCAGTAATGGGATTATGCCCTGTTTTGCCAGCATGGGGTTTTCCTTACTGCGGTATTTCTCTGGGGCAGTATGTCAAATGCAAACACAGATAAATTTCTACTGGAAGCCAGGGAAGGATAGAACTCAAGTCACTTGGAGCAATTCAAATCACAATCCTACCCCTTTCCCATCTTTTTTGCTTAGCATTACATTTCCTTCAAAGAACATTATGGTACTCAGAATCTAAATGCTATTTAATCCAGATTTGAAATACACTATGTATTGTAATTGGTTTCCCGACAGAAAATATGCCCTCACGTTTAGCTCCTACCGAGGTTAACATTCATTCCTGGAATCACAGAAAAATGGATGGTCACAGAAGACGGGCATAGGAGCTATTTGGAGGTAAGGCAGTAACAGATCGGACTGAACATTTGTTGTAGATTGTTCAGGGTATGAAAAACAAGACTTTACCACACTAGTTTAAAACAAGCCTTGAAGATGCAATCAAAACAAGGCACACATTTCTGGGGCTACTGACCAACCTCTTCTACAACTGGAGATATTGCCAATGGAGGTCTAACTGACCAACACAGTCTCAGTCCACCAGATGGCAGGGATGGACATTTTGAACACTCTACACCAAATGCTTCTAAACACACATTATTCCCTTCTCTCCAAGGACTCTTCCACTAACACACTCCTGCCATGTAGGCTCAGGAGAACCAATAGATGGGAGCTGAGCATTAACATCCACCCTTGTGGGAATCCCAGTACCAACCCTCATCTCCTCCGCTTTCCATCTGAAATAATCTCAGGGCACCAGGGAACCTTGTTTACAAGGGCCTCTACACGAGTGCCCCAGTTATACAGTCTTAGCCAACTACAAGATAAAGAGGTCCCATCTCACCACGGATTGTCACCTCTACCATGCTACCTGTCACCTGAATGGGATGACCCAGGGAGCACAGAGAGCCAGATTCAGTTCTGTACCTTGAGGAAAGCTAATGCTTTAACCAAGTTATTCTGTTGGTAACCGTCAACGTGATCACTGTTATGTCCCCTTCGCTCACCTTATGGGTATCAGCTGAAATGCTGGTCACACCTTTCACACGGAAATCGAATGGTTGCTCCAGTGGGTACCCTGCTTTCTCCATGAAAACAATGAGGAAGCCCCCCAGACAGGCATCTACATGAAGAGGTATTTTATATTTCACAGCCAGCTAATTCCACAAAACAAAGAACACAAGAGAATTGCAGTTACAGCTCTGTAACAACAACCAGAACATGAGTGTCAAGATGAACTGTCAACATTAGGCTATGCTGTACTGTCTCCCATGTTTAAAAAAAAAAAAAACCTTTACTGTAGAGAACAGCAGATGGCATAATGGTTACGTCACTGGACTCCTACGTAGTCGACCATGGTTCGAGTCAAGGACCCGATGGCTTAAAACTCTCACCAGAAACGTGTGGATGTGTGCCCAAAATTCTGAGAGGAGAATGGAGAAGGGACTGCAGTGTGGCCATCACCCCTGGAAGGTGATTTCTCACTTTCTGTGTCTCTGTCTCTCTGGCAAGTGTACACACCCTATAACAAAAATCTCTATTAAAAAAAAAATAAAACTTTATTTTTGGCATTCCTAAGGAAGTTTACCCTTCAAATGTATTTAACCTTCAAAATAATTCACCTGAGTTTTGATACTGCTTTTATAATTACACATGGATATCTTTACTCCCTGCAAAATCAAGAAAGGAAAGGGCTCTGATATAAGCTACCTCTGGAGGGGCCACAAAGATCCTACTGGGTCAGTCAGTGGCATGGTGGCTAAGGCAGCTGGATCCCACATGGCCAACTGTGTGATTTGATTCCTGGACTCAGCAGCTTGGAAATTACTCCAAGCTCATGTGTGCACATGTGTGTAGAAGAGGACTGCAACATGGAAGAGGGCTGCAACATGACCATCCGCCAATGGGGGGTGCTTTTCATTCCCTATTCTCACCACCCAAGACATCGCTCTCTCTCTCTGGAGAGCAAATACACCCCCTGGCAAAATTGGGGAAAAAGAAAAAAAAAAGTCCCACTATAGTCAGAGAAGAGTGGAGGGAGGAGGGAGACACTGTGGGCAGCAGTGATGGGCATGGTCCTAAATGCAGATTATTTCCTGACCTGAATCTAAGACAACACTACTTCAGAATATCCAGTTTAAAGATAGGCCTTGCAGTAAGTCTGCCTCACAGCAGAAGCTGGTGGCTTTCAGTGGCTCCAAACACAGCTGCAGGACTTCCCCTGGGCCTGAAGAGGACTATTCATCACTGTGTGGTCAAAGTTAAAATCAAATCACCTCATTTGCCAAGTATGGCACCACTAGGTTCTATTTTAAACCTCGATTTGACAGCCACAGCAGCCCATTTCTCTCATCTACCTTGGCCACTTCAGGAACAGGATCTATCACACCATGACCATACTGAGGGGTTGAGCAGACGAGCATGGCCGTGTTCTTGGAGATGGCTCTTCTCATTGCCTAGGGATTTAAAAAGTAAAGGAAAATGAGAATCTACATCACGATCACTCTTCTCTTCTGCTGCCCAGAGCAATCTGGGCTGCTAGCTCAGAGCCCCAGTTTTCCTGGTGCCCCTCCTTTACTGCCCAACCTGGGAGAAGACTGCCTTCCCACCCATGGGCAAGGTACAATGGAGCCCAGACGGGTCTCTTTGGAGAAAGCTGTCTGAGAGCACATGGTAAAAACAGTATGATCAGCACGGGGTGGGAACAATTCTGTGCTAAGATGCAAAAGTTACACATGAACCCTGGCCCCATAACCCACTAGCCTCAAGTGAACTACGTAACTTCACAAATCTACTTCCTCATGTGTGGCCTGCAGTCATACATAATAGCTTCGGCCAGACAGACGGTTCAAATGTGACTCTGCTAGCATTATAAAACCAAGAAGTTCCACACAGATGTGAGGCACAATTACTATTAGGTTGTCAGGAAAGTCGTAACTTTTTGTTTGTTTTTCTATACAAAAATGTGTCAGAACTTTCCCAATGACCCAGTATTATATAATGACAATGTTAGCCAATCAAAATCAGAGTGAGCATCTTAGGACAAGTCATGTTAGTCTATGCTCACTTTACAGAGAAAAGAAAGTGTTGGTGTTGAAAGTGAAACCCAGGACTTTAAGGTCCCAGGTCAGGGACTGGATTTCCCTTTTAGAATCCACGAACCTATGAAGAAATGAAGGTATAGTCAAGCACCACTGTCAGAGGCAGCTTCTGACATTCTGCTGTGACAGTCAAAGGCAGGCTGAGCCACATGGGTACAACTGGAAAGGGAGTTGGTGAGACCCTCCTCCTGCTTCTCAAAGCTGGGACCACAGCAGTCTCGGGGGACTTACCCGCACATCCACCTCCATCATCTTGTTCAGCGGGACCCGCACAATTTTCATCCCAAAATAATTGGCTGCTTTGTCAAATGCGGCATGGGCACTTAGGGGAGCCACGCTAGATGTCAGGGGAGAGGTGAATAATGCAATTTAGGACAAACAGGATTCAACAGAGCACAGTTAGGAACTAATCTAAATTGCCAGGAGTAAATGTAAGGTTATTTTTCCTCAGGTTATTGTAAGTGTTCATACTGCTTTACTTTTCAAGAACAAAAAGAGGTCAACTAATTTTCTGTAGAAAGCTTCTCCCTATTTGTTAGGAAATCATCTTGGCAATGGGAAGAAGAACTGGAAAGTATTCCCGCACTGAGAGATCTAGGGCATAAATCAGAAGTGAAGGTGAAAAGTAAGGGACAGAGGGTCTGGGTCACAGAAATGTAAGATGGAGGTTTTTCCTTTCTTTTTAAATTTGTCCCCCTTTATTATGCCAGAGAGCATGTGCATGAGCATAAGACAGAGAGAGACAGCATGCATGCACGAGCATAACCCTCAGCGATGAGTGGTCATACGGTGCTCCTTTTCCTTCCAGTTCTCCATCCCATTAAGATCCTGAGCACATGCATGTGTGTCTGCTGTGTAAGCTGCTGGGGCTGCACCTGCGCCCTGGAAGGCCATGTAGGATCCAACATTTTGCACAGGGCATAACCACTGCACTAGGGGGCTGGCCCCTAGGTGGAGCTTTCTAATGGCTGGTTACCCAAAGACGAACCTCAGTGAGAAGAAAGCTTCCTCACGTAACACAAGTTCAAACAGAAACATGACTGCTCAGCAAAGATGCTAATGCGACAGGCAAGCATCAGAGCAGTGGTTCCTTCCACTCTGGAGAACTGTGAACTTATGAGAAGCTAAAATATCTTTCCTATACATTTGGAAATATTTAGTATTTCCAACAGTTTTAAAAGAAGAAAGTCATAAGGAAATCTTTGCTTTCAGATTTCCCTCAATTACTCCACCCATACAATTAATCTGTTCCTCTTAAGATATAAAAAACTCTATTAGTAAATAAGTACCAAGCATCCAAGATTTATGTATGAAAAAAGAACGGTAGCCTAATTTATCCTCTTAGGCTAAGTATGAATCATAACAAAGACCATGTACAACAATCACCCTTAGACACTGCCACCTCCATACTGTACACGGAGAGAGCCTAGAGAACAAGGGTAACCACATGTCAAAATGACATCCACGGGTGACATGTGGGTACCTGTCAGAAGAAAATTTTAAAAACTTTTCCTCCTAGAAACTCTCAGCCCTCAATCTGAAGCTGTCCCAAGGAGTACCTTGACACCACCTTTAATACTTAAGAAATGTCACTGAACTGAACGTAATCGCTTTCCTTAGTCTCCACGTAATTTATAATAAATATCACAGATTCAAACATGAAGTCCTCTAACTGTTACTGTTGGGGGGAATCTCATTTTTGTTTATAGCATACAAAGGGATTTCAAAAAGTTCATGAAAAAAATAAAGTAAAAGTTTATTTTGGTGCAAAAATTTGAAATCCATGCAGTTTTTATTCATTATGTGCATTTTCTATGAACTTTCTGAAAGCTCCTCGCATACCACGTATAAACTTGGAGGACTGAGAACAAGCTTTAAAAATTGGGGCCAGCAGGTGACATGGTTAAGGTGCTGGATACTCCTACATGGCTGACCACAGTTCAAGTCCCGGACCTAGTGGCTTGCTTTCTCACTTTCCCTCTATGTGTGTCTCTCTCCAGTCAAATTAAAATAAATGAATGAATAAATAAAATTAAATAAATATTTTTTTTAAGAAAGTTTAACTTTGTAATCCATTTAGAATTCTGCTAAATGTGACCGAATAAGGGCAGAATGGCCAGCAACAGGGGAAAGAGACCTGGAATTGCCAGAGAAGAGCAGCAGCAGGAAAAAGAATTTCCAGGCATGTTTTAAACAGTAATATTCAAAACAGATAAATCTAAAAGAAGGGAGAAATAGCCACTTCTACATACATTTCTGGAGCTTTGATCCCCTTCTCGAAGGCCAGATCCCGGTATGCTTTGCAGGCCATCAGTATGCTTTCTGTTCCCCCTGAGGTTACCTATAAGGAAGAAGAGATGTCACCTGTGGGGAGGAGTTAGGAAAAGCACATCCTACTGCCTGGTCCTCAGGTATGACGCACAAATAGATAAGGACAAGGATGTAGATTCTGACTGCTCTGTCGTCCAGATGGAAAATGGCTTTGCTAGCTAAACCCAATCTTGGTTAAGGAGGAATGTGAAAACTAGTTCATAAGAATGAGCAGAAAAGTTCCATACCATCTAGACAAAGCACATTTGTCCAGACCCCACCTGCTTACAATCCATTTACATTTCCATATTAATTCATACATTTTCAGATAGGATAGGGCATTTTATTCCATTCAAAACCATCAGGATTGAGTGGGGTAGGTGGCATAGTGGCTGGTGTCGCTGGATCCCACATGGCCAATTGTGGTTCAAGTCCTGGACCTAGTGGCTTGCTTTCTCACTTTCTTTCTTTCTTTCTCTTTCTCCCCCCCCCCCCGCCCCTCTCTGGTCAAATTAACAAATAAACAAACAAAACAAAGTTAAACAAAAAATAATTCTTTAAAAAAACCCACCAGAATTATTGATTTTGGTTTAATTCAATCATCTGTTAGAAGAATAAGAAACTATGAAGTTCTAATAAGCTGTATGATCCATTAGAAGATCAAAAAGAGGGACGAGCAGTTGGTGTAATGGCTATGTCGCTGGAGTCCCATGTAGCTGACCGCGGTTCGTGTCCTAGACCTGGTGATTTAAACTCACGCCAGGAGCGTGGGCATGCGTGCCCAGGATCCTGAGAGGAGAATGGATTGCAGTGTGGCCATCCCCCTGGGGGGTGATTTCTCACTTTCTGTCTCTGTCTGTCTTCCTTGAGGGCACATGCCCCCTATAGCAAAAACGTCTCCACACACACAAAAAAAGATCAAAAAGAGATCAAAAGATCAAAAAGAGATCAAAATTTTCCAAGTGAACTTGTGATTTTGACAATTTTGAGAGACAGGAAAGCATAAGTCTGACTTAGAAGTTTGTTGCTTTACTTACCTATCTAAAATCAAAACAAAAATCCAACATTTTTAAATGAGGTGAAATTTCTTTCTGAAGCTAGGGCTAGTCTCTCTGATAGGCTAATTTCTTTATCACAGTTGCAATGAAAAGATGCTGAAGCCTTTCAATCACTTCATTTTCCTCACTGGATTACAAACTCACGAAGTGGAGACCAGTGTTCACAGTAGTACTCTGAGCACCTCACCTCATAGCTGAGGTCTCACAGAACCGCCATCAACATTTCTTGATGTCTGACTTGACTGTCAGTAGACTGTGACCCAAATAGGCACAGAACAGTCACCTGGCTACCTTTTATCTAAGAATAATCATTAATTACTAGTGATTATTAATATTATCAATACTATTAATCAATAATATCCAATAATCATTTTTTGTTTTAATTTTCCAGAGGGCATGTGCATTCGCTGAGAGGGAGAGAGAAGTGAGAAAGCACACCCCATGCAGAATGGCCACACTGCAATCCCTTCTCCATCCCTCCCACTGGTTAGGATTTTGGACATGCACACACATATATGCCCGGCATGTTTTTTAAGCCACTGGCTCCTGGACTCAAATGACGTAGTTGGCCACATGTTATACAGCCACCTTAATCGCCAGGCCATAGGCTGGCAGAATGATGAATAATTTCAAAACAAATAAGAAAACCACAGCAGTGAACTAGTTAGACATCCTCTTAGATTTCCTATATCAGAATATTCCATTTTAGAGTTTTCTTTTATTTTATAAGATGAGAAAACTAAGGCCCTGAGAGATGAAATGATTTATTCAATAAGGTACATTAGCAACTCCTGAGACCAAGTAAAAATTTCTATGTTTTGGTATTTAGTGTGGTTTCATATGAAATGAAATGAGAGAGGATGATTACTAAACTTTCCTAAGATAGAATTACTGGGGCCAGCAGGTGGTGAGGTGGTTAAGGCGCTGGACCCCCACATGGCCAACCACAGTTCAAGTCCTGGACCAGGAGGCTTGCTTTCTCACTTTCCCTCTCTCTCTCTCCTTATTTCTTTCTCTGGTCAAATTTTAAAATAATAATAATAAAGAAAATAAGCAATTTTGGAACCAACAGTTGGTGTGGAGGTTGGGTTGCTGGACTCCCACATGACTGACCATGGATGCGTCTCCGACCTGGCAGCTTGCTTCCTTACTTTCTCTCTCTCTCTCTCTCTCTCTCTCTCTACTTTCCTTCTCTCTATGTGTCTGTTTTCTCTGGTCAAATGAAGATGATGAAAAAAATAAGTAAAATAAAATAAATAATTCTTTTTGAACAAAGATAAGATTATCACACAGGACAAAAGTACCAAGATATAAAAATTGCAGTGATCAGGAGTTAAATGGAAGATCAGGTGAAAAAAGTTAGGTCATTTTTGACTCAGGAAAATTTTATGAAACATGTGACTGTCATCCACAAAATAATGTACTGAATTCAGGCATGGACGCTTGTTTGCAGGACTCTGCATTTCTACAGCAGTGAGGACAAAGTGCTTACAAGTGAGATTAGCTCTGCAAATCAGCAGCATGTCCTGTGGTCTAGCCCGAAACCTCAGACTATCACATGAGGGAGGGGGCAAGCCAGCTGTGAAGAAAGGCAAGGAAAGACCAGCAGAGTCCCAGTCTCCAGTGTGTCAGTCTCTTACTAAAGTCTGGTAATAACCTAAGCAAATCATTTCCAGGGCCCGCAGGTGGTGTGGTGGTTAAGGGCGCTGGACTCCCATAAGGTCAACTGCGGTCTGAGTCCCGGACCTGGCAGCTTACTTTCTCTCACGCACGCACTCTCTCTGTCCCTCTCTGGCCAAATTAAAAAATAAACAGACAAATAAATAAAGTTAAATAAAATAATTATTTTTAAAAAAATTTCCAAAGTCCCAGCCACCCACTCCATGTGTCTTATTTTCAGTCCAGTAAGTAATCAAATCACTATATTATTTGGTAGGTCAACAGGAGTGTGGTTTTTTTTAAGAATTATTTTATTGAACTTTATTGTTTTATCTATGTATTTATTTATTTAAATTTGACCAGAGAAGGACAAAGTGAGAGAGAGAGAGAAAGTGAGCAAGCAAGCCGTCAGATCCAGGACGTGAACCATGGTCAGCCATGTGGGAGGCAACACCCTCAACCATCACACCACCTGCTGGCCCCAGGAGTGTGCTTTTGACTGTTAAAACAGAAACACCAAAATCTTACTTCTATTTCTGATCCCCAAATTTTGTGTATAAATAGGCAGTTACTCTCCACTTCTCTCTACCCCCATACCCAAAGAAACACAGCAACTTAACGGTGAGGTTAGGGAATGGAGGTTTCAGCAACAACTTGTCTAACTTCTTTTAACACGTACAAAACTCTCACTCTAACATATGACATATATTTGAGAAAACAAGAGCAGAATATGATCTACTTAGAAATTTTTTTTCAGATACTACTTAGACCTGATAGCATTTGCATAAGCCAAAAAGGTTTTCCATGGCAACTAATTCCTTTTAATATATGAAGTCACTTCTCATCTACTACAACTGAGGCAAACGATAACAAAAGGAAAGACAGTTTAAGGTTGAAGAACGAAGGAATCAAAGAGCTTAAGGCTTTTGGCTGGGAATAATCTAAAGTCTGCCCAGACATTTGGCCTCGCCGTCTTCTTGCTTCCCACCTCTGAACACTGAACTCTCTTGTCGCCAAAAGTAGTTCATCAAGACAGAGACAGAGGAAGAGACAGAAAGAGAAATAGATACACAGAACAATAAAGGGGACAGGGGAGGAAAGAGAGAGAGAAAAAGAAAGCGAGTGATGCTCAAGTAATACCAGAGATAACTATCATCTTCTCAAAGTCCGTCAGAAGACACTGGAGTCAGCCTCTAGCCTTCTACTGATCCCTGGCACATCTACAGAGGCTCATAATAAGAGAGGCATGGCTTAACTAGCAAGGCAAAGGACCCTGGATTTCTGGATTCAAATAGGAAACAAACTACTTCATAGATATTCCTCTTTTCCAATACCTAAAAGAATAAGGGGGGACTGGCATAATGGTTATGTCGCTGGACTCCTACATAGTCGACCGTGGCTCAAGTCTCAGACCTAGCAGCTTAAAATTCACACCAGGCACGTGTGCATGTGTGCCCCAGATCCCAAGAGGAGACTAGAGGAGAAGGTACTGCAGCATGGTCATCTCCAGTGGGGGGTGATTTCTCACTTTCTGTCTCTCTGGTGAGCACATGCGCCCTCTAGCAAAAATCTCTCTCAAAAAAAAAAAAAAAGAAGAAGAAGAAGAAGAGAGAAAGAAGGGGAAAGTCCAAACCTGCAATAACGACTGAACAAGAAAAGAGAGCTCATCTAATGCGATAATCTGAATAGTGAAATACTAATAAATTTATAATACTGAAATGCTGAAAAAAAGAAAAAACAAACGAAAAGAATAAAACAGAAGTACAGCGAGACATGATTTCCTAATCAGGCCTGGAAATTGTACTGGGGGAGTCAGGCAAAATCTTAAAAATGCTCATTAATGCCTCCCACATCTTCAGAGAAGCAAGCACAGGGGGTTTCCTTAGCTTCTTCCTCTTCTTATCAGTGACTTGTGGGCCTGGCTGCTGGGAGAAATGAGCAAAATGGGAAAAAAGCACATGAGACTGACTCTTCATGTTGGTTTCCATGGTGCCAACACATTAGTTAAACCACACACACACACACACACAGAGAGAGAGAGAGAACTAACTGGAAAAAAAAAAAAAACTATAAAACATTCCTGTCTTTGGATGGGCCCTTTGATAATTAGTTTTCTAAGCCATGGTTACAGCATGCCGAGTTCAATGAATCCATCCTCCTAAGAGAGCTTTAGTTTTCGTAGAGAAGGCAATGTCAGTTTGTAGAAGAATTTTATCCATCAGAGTTGGGAAAACTAACAGCCACCTACTTAAAATTGAACAAGTGAAACAAGGACTCCACACGTGTGTCTTTATATATATAACAACCCCCTTCTTTATTCCTAATTCCAACTAAACAAGATTCAGTTTACAGCAAAATAAACTTCCAACTCAGGTAAAAGGAGAAGTATGTAAGACTGCTAGGTGGTTCAGCGAAACTATACACAGATAAGCAGGTGAGCATAAGGTATGTTGGCAGTGGGCAAAGAAAGACAAAAAGAGGGAAAGAAAGTAGAGAGCAGATGACTTAGTATTCTTTAAACAATCCTAGCAAATTGTATGTAGATTTAAACTTTTTCAAATTAAAAAAGCAAAACGTATAAAAAAAAATATACCAAACTGTTGATACTCTGAAATATAAAATTACGAGTTACATTTTAAAACTGCAAATCAACCAGAATTTTTCTGAAATAATCAGATATTACTTGCGCAGTAAAATATTTTTAGTAAGCTTTTTAATTTTAAGCTAAAAAGTAAGACCACTGAATGCCACCTGCATATACTCACACATCCACAGGAATCAGGTCCCCCATTGAAGAGAGAACAGGCTATGCTCACAATTTCTGCCTCTATCTTACGTAGTCCTGGGAAGATATCAGGATGCAGTGGGTTACTCCATGCAAAATTCCCATAAGCCTGCAAAGAAGTGCAACAGATGTGAAATAAGACCATTATACTATATACAGCCAAGAGACACACACTGAACACAAGTTTCTAGGTATCAGGTCTAACATTAAGAACTGGGAAAAAACTTAAGCTATGTTCCTCAATCTAATGAAGTTCAAAATGTAGAAGAGTGGAAAGATATGCAAGTAAATTACTTTATAATGTGGTAAAGGAGAAAATATAACTGTAGTTGAAAACGCAGACAGGGGACCAGCAGATGGCACAATTGTTACATCACTAGACCCCCATGTAGTTGACTGCAGTTCGAGTCCTGGACCCGGTGGTTTAATACTCAAACCAGGCATGTGTGTGTACATGTGCAAGATCCCAAGAGGAGAAAAGAAAAAGGGATTGTGGTGCAGCCATCCCCCCAGTGGGTGATTTCTCGTTTTCTGTCTCTCTTTTTCTCTCTGGTGAGAGCACACACACTATAACAAAAATCTTTCTTTAAAACAAAACAAAACATACAGACAGACCCAGCAAACAGATTCAGTTTGATGTCTTGGCTTTGCCTGTCACTTCTTACTGTATAGGTCAAATAACCTGTCTGTGGCTTGGTTTCTTTATCATATTATAGTACTTATCTTATAGATTTAAGCAATAAGTAACATAATGCATGCAAATCACTTAGAGTTACTAGCACACAGCAGCTACTGGTCTGAGTGATACCATCAGATTTATAGTACACAGTGCTAAGGGATCCTGAACAAGGATCCTGAACAAGACATCCTGGGTGTCCTGGAGGTATCTGTTGACTGATACCTTGAGATGAACAGAAATTCACCATTTAGAACTGGTGGGATAAAGGAAAAGGATGAAAAGAACTAAATAAGAACATGGCTTTATTCAGTAAAGAGAAAGATAGGACTGATTAGTGTTTATGTCGGTAAGTAACAGGAATATTTTTAAAACAGGTGGGAGGTCTGGCCTGGTAAGCCTAGTGGTTAACAAAGTCAGATCCCATATGGTCGATTATGGTCTGAATCCTAGACCCAGTGGCTAGGCCACACTGGACACATGTGTATGCATGCCCTGAATCATGACAGGTTGGAAAATGGGAGAGAAGGGACTGCAATGTGACCACACTCCACTAGGGGGTTTTTCTCGGTCAAACAGATGCACTCTCCTCCAAAAAAATAAAAAATAAAAAATAAAAATAAGACAGGCATCTGCTCATGAAGGAACTTATGGTCTCCACTATGTAAGAACCTAAGTTTCATCCTGTAGATAAGGAGAAGTTACTGAAAGATTTAAGCAGGGAAGTAAGATCAGAGCATTATGCCAGTATGTCTAAGCAACCCTATAATACTTAGTAAGGCCTGACAAGTTTCATAACTGTAATAATCAAATGCAGAGACCTTGTAGATCATCCTACCCCAATTTGACTTAATAAACCTAATAAGATATGGAAGAAGCTAAAGGCAATACTAAAGTCAGCAAAGGATCAAAATTACGTGAAATATGAGTGAGACTACTGCTCATCTGAGATCACGTGACTTAAGATTCAGAGAGTACACGAAATTATGACTGTCTCCCTATTTTATTTATCAAATAAAATGTCTTACCATTGAAAATCTTAACTGAGATCAGCCCAGTGGTTAAGGCAGTTGGATCCCACATGGCTGACCACAATATCTGAGTCCCGAACCCAGTGGCCTGAAAAATACACTGGGTACATATGTATATGTGTCCAGTCCAGAAAGGAGGGCAAGATAGAGGAGAATGGATTGGACTGCAGTAAGACTTCACCCCACATTGAATGCCTTCTCATCACCCTCTCTCCCCTTTCTATTTCTCTTTCTCCAGTGAATGCATAAAACCTCTGGCAAATTACAACAAAACATGAGGCCAGCAGATGGCATAATGGTTTCATTACAGGACTCCCATGTAGTCAACTGCAGTTCTTGAAGATTCAAAAAAAACTCACACTGGGCATGTGTGCATGCCCAAGATCCAGAGAGGAGAATGGAGGAGAAAGGATTGCAGCATGACCATTCCCCAGGGGGAGGATTTCTCACTTTTTGACTCTGTCTCTCTGGTGAGCACACACGCCCTATAGCAAAAATCTCTCTTTAAAATAAATAAATAAATAAAAATAAAAACCAAAAGAAATAAAACAAAAACACCTTAAATGACATGACTACCTTTCCTACTAAACTGCCTCCTACACAGGGCATCTTACTTCTTTATAGATCGATAAAGCCTTTGACAATGGTATGTGTATTTGTCTATGTTTGGGAGAAGAGAAACTTTCCCTTTATTTGAACAATAAATGTTCCTTAAAACACTTTAATTACAGAAGTAAGGAGAAATAGCGAGGTCACACACACTGCCAGGGCCGCTGGACATGCCTTGCACAGTCCTGGACACTGACCTTGACCAGAAGCTCGGTGAACGCCTCCTCTCCATTGTACACTGCCCCGGAGGCACGCCCTTCTTGCCAGAAGGTATCTACAGAGAAAGGAAGATCACTGGGTCAGTAAACAGAAGCCACTCCACTGGAGACACACACTCCAAAACAGGCGAAATAGGAAGAAATCCCTTTGGGTACAAAAGGAAAAAAAGTTGAGTAGAAACCCAATGGAATTCTTCTATTATATCAAGAAGGAATTTCAATAAAGAGCCATCATAGCACAATGATGATGAAAGAGCATCAATTATTGTCAACAGCAGTGTACAAAGGTATGAACAATATTTAGGTACAATAAAGAGTCCAATAATTATGCTGTCCTTAACCTCACCTGTCTTCTAATGGCAGGATAATTTGGCTTTTTTGTTCTCTGTATGCCTTTTATGTGACTTTTTACTGCAAAAGTATCCTCCTCCTCTCCCTTTCTATCCAGACACAGAAGGGAGGGGATTGTTATGGGCAGAGTTGGGAGAAAAGAGCAAGGAGAAAGTATGCACGGTCACACAGGATCATCAGAACTGGAGCCCAGAACAGACAATGCCATGGACCATGAGCATCCGAAGCTCAGGGGCCCCTCCCCTCAGCCAAGCCTGGAAACCCACACAGAACTAGCCACCTGATGCTGGCGTACCCCGCAGCACTCAAGCTGAGAAACCGTCAACGCCAGCATAAGGGTCAGAAGAGAAAGGCTCCAGATCTAAGCACAAGGCCATACTTCCCATTTCTTGTCTGAAGTGCTTTCCCAGAGACTTTCTGTATTAAACCAACAAATCTGCTGATATGAGTGTCTCAGGCCCTTTGCTACAACCCAGCTCTGCCCTACTGAAAGTGGGTAGTAAGAGAGCTATTGCAGAGATACACTGAAACTGCATACAGCCAAAGCAGAGCCCTTCAGTCTGAGGAGAGAGCAGAAACTGAAGCAGTCAATGTATAGATAAAATCCCATCCTCACAGCACCCTGCCAAGCTGTGGCTTGTTGCCAGTCTGCCTTTCATTCTGTCCTCAGAGCACGCTGCTCCGTACCACCCAAGTCTTCAGAACACTTGTCACCAGCCTTTCAAAATCAGGACACACGGTTTCCTGTTCTTACATTGGTGCTAGAGTATGGCAATGAACAGTGACTTAAAAACTGAGGGGAAAGAAATAAAATGGCAGCAATCATCCCTCATAATAATGCAAATCTTTTGTATAAAGCTCTTAGGTTTATGTCATTCACATCCTAGACTATATGGTAATTATGCACCACCCCATGTCAAGAACTCAAATATCATGGATTGTCAGAAAAATCATGACAGTTTTTCCATGCAAAGACGTGTCATGACTTTTCCGACAACTCATGATGTTACTAAGAAATTTTACGTGCGTGCCCAAGATCCCGAGAGGAGAATGGAGGAGAGGGGATTGCGGAGTGACCATCCCCCCTGGGGGGTGATTTCTTGCTTTCTGTCTCTATGTCTCTCTCTGTCTGTCTGGCGAGCGCACGCGCCCTACAGTGAAAATCTCTCCAAAAAAAAATAAAAAGAAATTTTAAAGAGTATCTGTCAAAATGTGACATATATACCGGGTTGGATACTAGAATAGGAAAGAAACAAAACAGACGAAATAGGATTTGGAGTTTAGTTAACAGCACTGGACCAATGTTAATTTTTTAGTTTTGACAAATGTTACCAAGGTTATTTAAAATGTTAACAACAGGGAAAGCTGGATAAAATGCACATTAAAAAAAACTATCACCTTTGTTACTTTTCTAATATCTAAAATTATGCCAAACTAAAAAGTTTATTGGGAAAAAAGTATTTATAACATAATCTTACTCTATAATAAATGTGCATTTGTGTTAACAATAGCAATAATGGTTAATATTACTGAATATTACTATGTATTAGTACTATTGAATATTTATTATATTTGTATATTTACATGTATTATCTCGTTTAATCCTCATAATCATCCTTTCAGATAAATACTATTATCACCATTGTAGAAACATCAAAATTGGGGCATATAGAATTAAGGAACTAACCCCAAATTATACTTTAAATGGCAAAACCAGAAGGTGATGTCAGGCTCATTTCATAGGTTAAAAATTAAACGATCTGGTATATTTACCCTTCCCACATGTGCTCACACATATAGATGTACACACAAAACACTATTTATTTTTATTTTATGGTGAAAAAGTAAGTACTTCAAACTGTCTGGCTAGACTCAGTTTAGATGACTCCAATTTTGTTGGCAACATCCAAAGCATCATAATCAAGAGCCTGTCACATGCATGCCTTCCCTCTGTTGGCCCTGATGGGAGTGTTGACCATGACCACATTGTTACCATAGAGCTTCTTCACAGTCTGTTTGAACTGATGCTTGTTGGCCTGACATCCACAATGAACACAAGTGTATTGCTGTCTTCTGTCTTCTTCATGACAGATGGGAACTTGGTGGTCAGGGGAACCTCATGATGATGCAGTGTTCAAGCTTGTTTCTCCTTGGAGCGCTCCTCCAAAGCTATTTGGGCTGCCTCTAGAGCCACAGTGTCCTGGGTGATGTGAGGATCTTTTTACTTTTTGGCTGTGGACCCTTTCAGCATAGCCTTCTTGGCTGCAAAGCCTTTGCTTTGGCTTCAGCTTTGAAAAGGGCAGGCGCTTCCTTCTTCACTTTTGGTACCAAGATGGATCTCTGAGGCCCAATCCATGGGCTTATGGAGTCAAATCTCACTGAAGACTCACGATGCTTTCTACTTAGAACTGATGAGTTCATCTTTTTTTTTTTTTTAATTTTTTAGAGGTTTTTGCTATAGGGCGCGTGCACTCGCCAGACAGAGAGAGACAGAGAGAGAGAAAGAGAGAAATCACCCCCCAGGGGGGATGGCCACACCGCAATCCCTTCTCCTCCATTCTCCTCTAGGGATCTTGGGCACGCATGCACACGTGCCCGGCATGAGTTTTAAGCCACTGGGTCCAGGACGCGAACTGCGGTCGACTACATGGGAGTCCAGCGACATAGCCATTATGCTAACTGCTGGTCCCCTGATGGGTTAATCTGTCAACACTATTATTAGATAGATAAATAGATACACAGATAGCAATAAATACCTATCTAACCTATACAGATCTACCAATCTATATGTGTGTATACCTACACATATCGATGTATCTCTCTAAATATAGATATATATCTGTGTTTCTTTTTATGCAATTATAGTGATTTTTATTTTCTTTTGTACCTTGAAGCAATTTTATAGTTTCTACATGAACCAGTATTTCATTTGTATGAGATATATTATATGCTTTTTAAACACAAATGTGGGGACTAGTAGGCGACATGGACAAACCATATTTCAAGTCCTGAACCTTGCGCTTGCTTTCTTATTTTCCCTCTCTCTGTCTCTGGTAAGCACGTGTGCCCTACAGAAAATTAAATAATAATTCTTTAAAAAATGTTTTAAGAAAAGAAAAATACAAATGTGTCTGTTTTATTCATGCTTGCAAAAGGAAATAAAACCAAGTTCCATTGTCCCTGAGATCTGCTTGCTTTGTGGGTGAGGGATGAATCTAGACAGATTCTTTTAAACATGAAATTCAGTCATGAATTCATGAGTAAGCATAGGCCCTACTGAACAAATTAAATACCAGGAATGAGTTATTAATCCAATGTGAACATTCATCAACGACAAAGCAGCCATTTTAAGGAATGAATAAACATGCATGAACTGAGCATCATACCCATAGAGCTGTACTCTTTGAGTTTCTCCAGAACTGCAGACGAGCTTAGGCCCTGGGAGGGCAAAACTTTCACATACTCTTTGTCCACTTTCAGGAATGACATGTGCCTGCTAATATCAGCTTTAGTCTTGTTCAACTCTTCTTGGATCTTCAAAGGTAAGAAAGACAAAATTAAAATGACACAAGAGTAGGGTACAAAGAGCAGGCAACAGCCCATCAACCACTCCAGGCTGGGAGTTGCCCAAGTGTTACTTTCTTTTTCTTTAAGAAATGTGATATTTTGACTATTCAGCTATTTTCTGGCATGTGCATAGCTTCTAAGAAGTTTAAAAAGTAATCTTCTCTCTAAAGATTACTTCAATTTCCCTATACCTCTCCCTGCTATGTTGGCATTTCATCACTATTTTACTTGATTTGCATTTGCTAGTCAGTACTTCCCTGGTGGCAATATCCAGATCACCTATCTCTTTAGCAGCAGCTACAGCTGTGTGTGCAAAAGAGACAAAAGTAGAGCCATGCACAGCCACTAGAAATCCAGCCTTGGTGCAGTAGTAAGGATTCTGGTCCTGTTCAAGTGACGAGCTCCTTCAACGGCAAGCAGAGTGCACACCAGGAACCTGGAGGCTGATACAACTCCCCACATACAAGTATGAGACATTCTATGAATTGTTAGAGGACTCCATCACATTTCAAGCCGTCAACAGTCTGCACTGTCCAACCCTAAAATGCTAACAAAAACTAAGGTCCTTTCTGTTATGTTATTTGTCAACTGTGATTATTTCTTTTCTGTCCTCACAGCCGTAGGCTAATAGCTTCCAAGCCATTTTCTTTCATTCAGTCATTCACTTATTTATTCAACATTTTTTGGATGACTACTGTAGGCCAGGGTTACTTAGGCAGGGGAGTTCACAGGAAAGAAAAAAAGACACACACAAAATAAAACCATCCTGTTCTTATGAAGTTTATTTTCAGTGGGAGAGATAGAAAATAAGTCATGTAATGAACAGTGCTAGGGAAGAAGGGGAAAAGAGCAGACTGATGATGCAGAATGGCAGGGAGGAACTGCTATTATGATAAGAGATGCCTGTGGTAAATTTGGGGAAAGAGGTTCCATGTCACAATCTGGACATGTTACACTGCCGTGGTTTCAGCACGGTACCTGTTAAAGAACTCCCTCCAAATATCTAGATTTCCTCATCTCTAGCCAAGGATGATGAGAATACAAGATCTTCTTTGCCACAGCCTTCAATGAAACCGCAGGCAAAAAATCACCCCTCTAAAGCATGGCTGCGCTGGTCTACCAGGCCAGCACTGGCAGGGGGCAGAGTCCACACTCTCGGCAATCCTGGGCACACTATGGACACGGAGACAGCTTTAAGGTTGTAAATAAAAATAGTGCTTCATAAATAGCCACCACGCCAACAAGAATAAACTATGAAAGCTGAGCTTCCAGACATAGACTATGCTGTTGCAATAGAATAAAACAAACAAAAAGAATGACAAGTATCTTAGAAGGTGCAGTAAGCACTTCCTCAGCTCCAATTCTTTCTTCAGAGTCTATATCATATAACCCAATTTTAATTTCATCATAGCATTTCTTCCTTTCTTTTAAGAGAGATTTTTGCTATAGGGCCTGTGTATTCGCTGGAGAAAGTGAGAAATCACCCCCCAGGGGGGATGGTCACACTTCAATCTCTTCTCCTCCATTCTCCTCTCAGGATTTTAGGCACGCACAAACAAACACTTGGCGTTAAGTTATAAGCCATCAGGTCTAGGGCTCGAACTACAGTCAATTACATGTGAGTCCAGCAACGTAACTATAACAGTATCTGCTGGTCCCTACAGCATTTATTTCAAAAAGAAGTTCTTATTTATGTGGTTACTTGTTTATTTTTTGAGAGATTTTTGTCATAGGGCACACATATGCTTGCCAGAGAAACAGAAAGTGAGAAAAGACCCCTGGAGGGATGGCCGTGCCTCAATCTCTTCTCTATTCTACTCTCTAGATTTTGGGAATGCACACACATGTGCTCAGCATTAAGTTTGAGGCTGCCAGGTCTGGGACCTGAACCACAGTCAACTATGTTAGAGTTCAGCAACATAATCATCACACCATCTGCTGGTCCCTACTTGTTTATTTTCTGTATTTCCTATTAGAATGTAAGTTCCAACAGAAGAAGGACTTGGTCTTCTTCATTACTCTTTTCCCAGTACTCAGAGAAGTACTTGACACTGAGCAAGGGCTCAATAAACATGTGTTGAATAAGTAAATGTAAGTGAATAAATTAGAAGATACACATAGACACATAGAATAACTTTTAATCTCTAGGTGTCAAAATCTGCTTCATTAAGTTCTAGAACCCTAGCATTTATTTCAAAATCCAGAAGATAAAGGAGGAAAGGAGGAGGTGGACAGAAATAAAAAGGCAGGGAATGACAACAGGAAAGGGGAAGTCTTACTGTGTGACTCAGTCCATCCTCTGTGGTATCTTCCCTTCCCTTACCTTTTACCCCATACAGACTAAAGCAAATTCACTAGAGCTCAATGATTTGGAAACATATGCAAGTCTATTCACTCTCCTCCCTTCACCATCCCAGTTATTACTTCCACTGCCCTAAAATACATATTTCTGGGAGAGTTCACATAGCAGTATAAATGAACTTCAGTCAAAAACTAAAGATAACGTTCATGTTTTCTAGTTTGGCTAGACAGAGGAAGGGAAGTGAAAGCCAATTGTTAAAGAAAACTTGAAGGCAGGTAAAGTGGGGAAAGAACAAAGGAAAGTTGAGAAGCAGAACAGGGCAGTAGGAGATAAAAAGAAATTAAGAACCAATTTGCCTTCCTCAGAGCATTTAAAGGGGCCTGCCTTATTCATTTTCACCAGTGATAAAGAACCTGTGAAAAGATAGGGGTGACTAGCTTATCCTTAGCTTGAGTGAGGGTAGAGATGATATAGTGAAGGAGTAATTACGGTACTACAGACAGGAACAAAGAGCAAGAGAATAGTTTACAGTTTCTCTTTCTTTTTTTTTTTTTAAATGAGAGACCACGTTAGTACCCAGGAAGAAGTAGGAAATGTAGGGAGCCACCCAAGCCTAAGCAAATATGGTGACCTTTAGACACATACAGAAACATGATTCCATGGGTAGTCATATGCAGGGCAATGAACACTATTAACATGTGAATATACTAACTGCTCCTGTGTTTCCGAAACTGCAAGGCAGTACTGGGTTAACGGAAACCACATGTGCTGATCAGAATTGGCCCAAGAACATTAGAGAAAACTTAAATAGAACTACATGGCATTAGGTGTCTTTGCATCTTCAGCCGATAAACATCTGAAAACAACTGGCTTTAAATTCCATTTCCCCTTCTCCCATTTTCTGCCCTTTAAAATAAACTTGGAACCAGCTCTGGGCCATGGTTGTCTGCATCAGAGAAGTCAAGACCAACCGATCCCCTTTTCCTTTACTTCTATATACGTTTTTGTGTATTTATTTATTTTCAAATCCATGGTCATCTCCCCTCAGAGCATGCATTCGTTTAGCCATGCAGGACCCAGCAAGGAAAGATTGATATTTTGACAGTCTAGTCTTTGTATCATCTGTACCAGGTTCCCAGTGAGATACCACACCCAGATTGATCCAGAACCTGAACCCAGGCCTCCTATGTGTGCTCAGCCTTGCATACCTTATCACTTCTACCACCCTCAATGAGCCATCACCTTCCACTTCCAAATTTTGAATTAGCAAGCTACTACCCATGGCAAAATCTGACCTACCTCTTCATGCTTATAGATGCATCTGTGCATAACCAGGCTCATTCTTAGCCTGTCTTCTTCTTGTTGCTTTTCCTACAAGTGCAGAGCTCATAAGTTGTGACAAACATAGTAAGGTCTGTGGAGTCAGAGATGTTTATGCCTGGCCCTTTTGATGAAGTTTGCTAACTTCTGATCGAAACTCCATAAGGACCCAACCACAGGTAAATATTTAAATCCAGACTGCCAGGTATTGTTCCAAAGCACCATTAACACTTCAGTCAGGTTTTCTAACTCCAGATTCTTTCTTAACAGACTTCTCATCTCTCCTCTGGCTAAAGACACTGGCAAAAGGGTTGGTTTTTCAGTCTAAGCTCCTTTGGCATTTCCAACCAGACCACTTTGTCATGTGCTATTCAGTGCTGTTCCATGCACTACAGGATGCTCGGCAGTATTCCTGGTCTTCATCCACTAGACACCAAAAGCACTCCACCTCGGGTGTGACAACCAAAATTTCTCAAAATGTTGCCAATGTCTCCAGGAAGTGGGGGACAAAATCACCCCTCCCCCTTGAGAATATTAAATTTAGTAAATAGGAAGAGGTATGGAGGTGCCAGACAGTGGCAGCATTGTAAAACGTAACACTCTGCAAGGCTGACTCACATGGAAAGGTTCCAGACTAGCATCCAGAGACCTCTCTGTATACTAGGCACATGTATGCCCACAATTAAGGACTGGCTGAAGTTGGGTGTGGCTTGTCACATAAAGACCCTGTCAGGGGTACCATCTCTCTAGCTCATGGAAGAAATAAATAAAAAGGAAGGCATGGAGAGGTTGGTTGGACATGTATGATTATCAAGGAGAGGAATAAAGAGACCTAGAAGGATTCCACTTACCTTGCGACCGATAATAGGCATCTTTCTGATGAGTTTAAAACATTTCTTTTTAAACCTTGACCATAAACCTAAAACAAACAAAATGGTTCTATTATTCAATTTGACTTTCACAGATAAGACCCGCCTAATACAGCAACTACTTAATGTGTCTCTTACAACCTCACTTGCCTTCTGATTGCAAAGGTAGTTTCTTTCTTTTAAAAAAAATTTTTAAGATTTTGAATAAATGATATATTTATATGGTTCAGAAACTTTTTTAATCCAAATACAGTGAAAATTTCCTTCGTATCTACCCCTCAGACCCTCATTCCACCCCCTCCAAAACCAATACTGTTAGTTTCAAGTATACCTTTCAGAAGTTTTTATGTATATACAAGATTCAGTAAAGGTACATTTATCTTCCTTTTACACCAAAGGATGCATAATCTAGCCTTGTCTTAGATTATGTGTTTCTATTTAGGCATGTTATCTTACAGATCAGTGTTCCTTTTTAAGTTTTATAGCTACAGAGTAATCCATTTATGGGTGTACCATAATTTTAAAAAAAGAATCATTTAATTTTACTTATTCATTCATTTTTTTTAATTTGACCAGACACACACACACACACACACACACACACACACACACACAGGGAAAGTGAAAAAGCAAACCTCCAGATCCAGTACTCGAACTGTGGTTGGCCATGTGGGAGTGTCCAGTGTCTTCACCACCATGTCCACTGCTGGTCCCCATGTACCCATAATTTACTTAATCAGTACTCGAACTGTGGTTGGCCATGTGGGAGTGTCCAGTGTCTTCACCACCATGTCACCTGCTGGTCCCCATGTACCCATAATTTACTTAATCTACTCTTTATTGATACATATAGGTTGTTTCTAGTATTTACTATTACAAAGTGTGCTAAAATAAATCACCTTGAAATGCACACCATACTGCACATGCACAAGTATATCTAAAGATGGAGTTTCAGAAGCAGAATTACTGGGTCAAAAGATATATACATTCCAGAGTTCTTGATCGTCTCCCAGGGTTTCCAGATGTCTGCTTCTCTCTTCCTTCCCCCAACTAATGGCCAGTCATCCAACCCCTCCTTTTTTATTTATTTTTTTTTTCCTTTCAGAATCTACACTCTCTCATTCAACACAGATCCCCCAGTAACATTTTCTGGGCTGAAAGGCCTTCAAAATCATGGGTAACAGTCAGAGTCCATTCTATCAGGTAGTATATAGGACGAATACAAAATCTTCAATCTTGCCTATTACAATAAATAGACTAGATTGATACTAATGTATCTCTTAATGCACTCATGTGTAATATATCCCAACTGATTTGGACAAAATCTGAGGTTGGCACAGAAAGCATTAAATACTATTTGACTTGTGACATGGAAGGGGTAAATGATGTAAGACTATCAAAACTTGCTTAAGGCCACAGATCAAATTAATGATGGAGCAGCAATTTAACAGAGGTCTTTATTCCAGGACTCCTGGGACTCTACTGCTTCAAATGCACAGTAGGAATTTTCTGTTATCCCAAATGAGACTGTAAGAATCCAGACACAGATTTTATTTAAGGCAAGAACTTAATATGAACCTTGACTGCATTCCTAGAAGATTCAACCTCTCTGACCGGAAGGCACTTTTTCTTCACTCAGCCACAGGATGTGTGTGCTCCCCTGCAGGTTTATCACATGTTCTGTATCTCTGCTAATTGTTTTGGTTAGAATGCATCCCTTGTCTTCTTACTTCACTCTATAGTCAACACTGTAAATGCCAGGGACAAAGCCAGGTAGCTAAGACACAGACTGAACAAGAATACAAAAGGGCTGAATCTGAGTATCTGTGGTTACTTTCTATCTAAATTTTGGAGAATTTCCTTCCAGTCCTATGTTCTAGACATTGTAATACATGGTTGAGACCTTGTTTTATGTAAAATAACTGTATCTTCATCTCACAGCGTTCTCTCCATCTCTAAAAATTCTTCCTAAATATATATTCTGAAACTTAATCATAATACTTGACTGAATGAGTATAACCTAAAGTTAAGAAATTTAAGCTGTATGTTATTCAAGTATTTCTAACAATGATAAAGCTGTAAAGATTCAGAACTCTTTCTTTATTCAATAGACAAAATAATTAATGAGGTAATAAGACATCTAAAACTCAGCAGTCCCAGTGAGGTGTCCAAAAGTAGCATGATATAACTAGGAGGAGGATAAAAGAATACACGATTTTGCCAAAGTTGTGAGAAACAGGAAAGGACAAATAAAAAACAGAATACATGATCATAGACGGAAAAATTTTAAATGAAAAGATCATATGGTCAGGACCAAAAAGACTATCTCAAAAGTAGATGTCACCAGAAGTAGAAAAATAAAACTAATTAGAATATCTCATAAGTGGTTACCAGGGGCTGGGGGAAAAGAAAGAAAAGACTAAAGAAGTCATGGTAAAATGATACAAAATTATGGTTAGATAGGAGGAATAAGTTCAAGAGACCTATTGTACAATGTAAATAACAATGCATTAAATACTTAAAAATTGCTAAGATAGTAGCGCTTAAGTGTTCTCAAAACAACAAAAAAAGATTAAGTACATGAGGGAATATGTGTGCATTAATTTAGTCTGTTATTCCACGATATGAACATATTTCTTTTTTAAAAAAAAAGAATTATTTTATCGGGACCAGCAGTTCGCGTAATGGCTATGTCACTGGACTCCTATGTAGTTGACCACGGTTCGAGTCTCGGACCCAGTGGCTTAAACTCACGCCAGGCGCGTGTGCGTGCGTGCCCAAGATTCCAAGAGCAGAATAGAAGAGAAGGGATTGCAGCGTGGCCATCCCCCCTGGGGGGTGATTTCTCACTTTCTGTTGCTCTGGCGAGTGCACACGCCCTACAGCAAAAACCTCTCCAAAAAAAAAAAAAGAATTATTTTACTTAACTTTATTTATTTATTTATTTTTTAATTTGACCAGAGGGACAGAGTGAGAGAGAGGGAAAGCGAGAAAGCAAGCCACCAGGTCCAGTACCGGAACCACAGCTGGCCATGTGGGAGTCCAGCGCCCTTAACCACCACACCACCTGCCGGCCCCTGAACATATTTCAAGAGAACAGATATCCTATACCATAGATACATCTAATTTTTATTTGTCGTTTTTCTTAAAAAAGAATTTTAAAAATTTTAAGATAAAATGGGGGAGTGAAGGGGACAGTTGGTGGCATAATCATTCAGGCAGCTAGATCCCACATGGCCAACTTTGCAGTCTGAGTCCTGGACCCAATGACCTGAAAAACATGCCAAGCACTAGTGTACGTGTGCCCAAACCCCAGAAAGAACTCTCTCCCCTCTGTCCCCCTTCAGTGAATACACGTGCCCTATGGCAAATTTAAAAGAAAAAGAAAAAAAGATAAAATAGGAAATGCCAGTGCAAGTACAACAATGCACAGTTCGTGGTCGTTTACAGATTCTTTTCATACAAGTGACACTACTCGGTATTTATCAAGGGTCTGTGGACAAGGTAAGGCGGGTATTATTACCCCCATTTTATTGTAAGGAAAGAGGCTCACAGAGCTAAAGCGTATCGCCCAGTTTCTTCCCAACCAGAAACAGTTTATCACCTCCTCCTCCCCATAAAACTGATTTCTGTTGATGAACTATGGACAACGCCACAGTTAAAAATCACTATCGAAGTAAAAAGTGGTGAGCTTTGAGCTGATAATCACAGAACTAAGGAAGAGATAACACCCAGAGAGCAGCTAACCCCATGCACGCTCTTGCCACTCTTAGCTCATAGCCACCCCCGTCTCCATCCTTTGTACCAGAACTACCCTCTCCCCCCTCAGGAAGGGATTCAGAGTTTAAAGATCAGCAAAACTTATCACTGGGCCATACTGAGCAACACATGGCATACTTCTACCTGAGCACGGTGTTGAAAATGGCAATTCTATCAAAATTATTCCTCATCTGGAGGGAAGACATTTCTATCAGCATATAAGATTAAAGTTGGAAATTACAAAATAAAAAGTGTATTATGTGTATGTGTTAATTGTAGGAAATAATCAACATTGAATACTATAATTTTTTATCTATTAAACTCTATTTTGGTTCTGTATGATTCTGATATAAATACAGATACACATACAGCTGTATCCTTTGGGAGCAAGGTTTCAATTTTGTTCTTACAGCTTATCCATACTACCTAAATTTTCAAAAGTGATCATGTAGCACTTCTGTAAAGAAAAATATATGCTGTATTTTCTGTAAGAAAAAAGGTATGCTAGTAAAAACAAAACAATAAAAATGGCTTGGAGGTCAGTCCCCAAAGATAAGCACACTGTTACTTTTAGTTTTCTCACCAGCCAGTATATTCCTTCTTCTTTTCTTTTTTTCTCTTTTTCTGGAGAGGTGTTTGCTATAGGGTGCATGCGGCTTGCCAGAAAGACACAGACAGAAAGCAAGAAATGACCCTCCAGAGGGGATGGTCACGCCACAATCCCTTCTCCTCCATTCTCCTCTCGGGATCTTGGGCACGCACACATACGCGCCCAGCGTGAGTTTAAGCCACCGAGTCTGGGACTCACCCGCGGCTGACTACATGAGAGTATAGCGACGTAGCCATTATGCCAACTATTGGTCCCAATATACCCCTTTTTCAACACTGCAGGCAGGTAAGTATGAACCAGGACCTATGATGACTGTGCCTCTACCACCAGTTAGGCAAAACACATGGGACAATGGGTTGCTAGACTGAAAACAGAGGTAAATACCTAACCACAAAAAGGAAAAATCTGTGAAGTGATACATATATTAATTAGCTCAATAAGCCATTCTACAATGCAGACATATTTCAAAACATGTTGTATACAATGCATATATACAATTTTCAATTTGCCAATTAATTAAAATAAATTTTTTAAGAAGCAAATACTGGGACCAGCAGGTGGCATGGTGGTTAAGGTGCTGGACACTCCCATATGGCCGACCACGGTTTGAGTCCCGGACCTGGTGGCTTCCTTTCTCCCTTTCCCTCGCTCTCTTTCTCTGTGTCTCTCTCGGTAAAATTATAAATAAATAAATAAATAAATAAATAAATAAATAAA